TTTTTTTTGCGGTACCGGGGATCGAACTCACGTCCTTGGGCTTGCCAAGCAGGCGCTTATGCCACTGAGCTATATCCCCAGCCCAAGTGCTAGGTTTTATAAAATCCGAAATTAGTTGATAGTTGTGTGTATAAAATTAATTTGTGTAACTTTTTGTTAACTTATAGTAGCACTTTAGTTTCATGTTACTTTTTAAAATACCCTCATAAGATTCCCATGAAATGGGAAAGGCCATTTTTTTTAACCGTGAAAGCACAATTTCTGGGTTACAGTCAGTGATGATCGGAACTAGAATCACAATTTTGTACATGCTTTTTTCTTTTTTGTCTTGATTACTGGTTCATCAATGATTAGCATCATTATGAAAAAATGGTGAAATAGTTGTGCTTTCAGAAAAATGTTTTACTTTGCTACATTAAATTATGCACTAAAATAAATAAATAAATAAATAAAATAAAGTTATGCACTGATTTATAGTACTTTCCTTGAATGTAGTATTGAGAAATAATTACTGTGAATTTAAGTTGATCAGTACTGGTGAGTAGTAATTAGTTAAATTGAAAATAAATCTCCCTCAATATCTTTCTGTTTAGAAAATACTGCATGAATGCCTATTTGTACCAGGCATTGTGCATAATGTTGAGTATACAGTGGGGAGGAGGTAAGATGTAGGCCTTGCTTTGTGAGGCACACGGTTTGATAATAGATAATCTGGGTTTACTGACGTGGGAGCTGGCTTTTGCAATGGAGATGTGTTGTGTAACCTTAATTCTTTCTAATTCAGGTTTGAGAACTAAATTTTTAATACATGGGAAGCATTTTTAAAAATTTGTCAGGGCTGGAGTGTTAGATTTAGCTTTAGATATGCTGGAGAAATTCTTTATAATCCTTAAGGCATCCTGGAAACAATGTATTCTAATTATTTAAGAGCTTTTTTATGCCTAGAATTTCTTTTCTGGAATTAAAGTAATTTTTTTGTTGTTTTAGCAACCTTGATTTCTCTTTTCAGCAGTAGCTGAATAGAATAGATGTGTAGTTAACTATAACACCGCTCTCTTTTTTTTTGTTTTTTGAGACAGGGTCTCAATCTATAGTCCAAGCTGGCCTTACACTCAGTATTAGCCCAGGCTGGCCTCAACTCAAGGATCCTCATGCCTCAGGCTCCCCAGTGCTGGGATTACAGGCATGCACCACCACGCCCCACTTAACTATAGTATCAGTGGCTTTTGATAAATACATTGTGATTAATCACATGTGACAGAAACATTCTTACTGGCAGATACATAATCATAGAGTTATAAGATGATATATATGCTTTAATATAGATATGCTATAGTATCTTTAAGGAAAAATTTGATCTTTGGTAAGATGAAAACTGTCTGGTAGTATAAGATGTATTTTGAGTTTTTGGTAAAGGAAGTGGATATTCAGATTAGTGGGTAGAAATTCACATTAGAAGGGAAGAATAAGGATGCCGGATAGAATGAATGCAAAAGGCAAGAAAGGCTTCTTACTAGCTTTAGGTTGGAAAGAAAATATAGAAAAATTAATCTGAAAAGGAAAAGGTTGTGATGCTAGAAAAATCTGAGGGAAGTTACCATAGATAAAATATTTGAAAGATGTTGATGGGTAGTGGTGGCCCAGCATTTGGAAAAGAGATTGGCCATTAACACTCATAAGTATTAGAATTTATGATTAGACTAGTAGTCAGAGGAACCAGGTTGGTAATTGTTGCTATAAGAGCCATGATCTAAAACCAGAGGATTACTAATTTCTAAATAACCACCTCTCTAAGCATTTAAGGGCCTTAAGGTAGTATTATCTATGCTTGAAAAGCTGGCTCAAATTTGTGATCCTCCTGCCTCAGCCTCCCATAGGGCTAGGATTACAGGTGAAAGCCAATACACCTGGCAAGGGTAGTCTTTTGATCATGTGGAAGCTCAGGTTATAGAGTCCAAAGAAGATTCTGATCACTGCTATTTCATTAGCTAATCAGATAACTTGGGACAAATCCTTTGTTTCTGAGGACAATATAGTGAGATATATACACATCTGACCACGGTTGCTTTCTTTGTGGTTGCTATCTGTTATAGTACATTATGGTCTTCAGTTCTCATGCTAGATATTTTTTGGATTACAGGTACCCTCTTACCAACTACACTTTTGGAACAAAAGAGCCCCTCTATGAAAAGGACAGCTCTGTTGCAGCCAGATTTCAGCGCATGCGGGAGGAATTTGATAAAATTGGAATGAGGAGGACAGTAGAAGGGGTTCTGATTGTACATGAGCACCGGCTTCCCCATGTGTTACTCCTACAGCTGGGAACAACTTTCTTCAAATTGTAAGTGTTGTTAGAAATTCACATTTAATGGGTAACTTTTAATAAGATTTATGCAGCTTTGTAATCCAATTTTAGCCCTCAGTCGTTTATTTCAACAAACATTGCTGTTAATGGAGTCTTTAGAAAGAAAAAATTACTGGTATTTTCTTTAGTGCTATTTACGTTCCTAACTAGAAATCTCCATGTATCCGTATATTGTTGATGTTAATGATTGAGCTTGGTAGGAAAAAGTATCATGATAGCATTACTAAGAGCAGCTGATCATATTGCTTCCTTAGGATGATGTACAGTTTAGTTCTATCTTGTGAACTCATAAAACTTTTATTATATAGTTGGTCTACAACTGTTTGATTATAGCACAAAAAAGATCTCCAAAATTTAGGTTGAAATTCTTGAAAAATGTCTTATTCTTTAGACCTAAAGAATGTTGTCTGTTCAGAGAGGAGATTGGGATGGATTGGTGGCCAGCAACTATGTATGTGTATATGCTGTTTTACATATTTTTTCTGTTTAAAACTAAGGTTGTATACTGTTAGTTTGGTTAACTTTCTAGCATATTCTCTCCTCTGCCATTGATATTTGTTAGTTTTGAGTACCTTATCATACAGTGAAATATGTCTTATTTAGTTGCTTGATAAAAGTATTAATGTGTTCTTCTTGTTATCCCTCAATTGTATTAAGTTGAAAGCTGAAATTCTTAACCTTTACACAGACCTGGTGGTGAACTTAACCCAGGAGAAGATGAAGTTGAAGGACTAAAACGCTTAATGACAGAGGTATTTTTCTGTTTAGTCATTTGGACAGTTTTATTGCCCATCTGAATGCCACCAGCTTTTGTTATGTCTTATGAAAAGGATAAATTTATTTTGTATATTTTGTTTTCAGTAAGTACAACTGAAACCCAAGCATTATTATAATGTTTATTTTCTACAAGTTAAATTTACACTTAATTTGTCTTAACATTTTAAAAATGCAAATGTTGATGTAACAATAATGGTAAATAAAAATCCAACATGTAGTAGTACTGTGCTAGACACTGTTCTAAGTTATTTACATGCAGTAAT